GAGAGAGAGGAAGAGAGGAGGAGAGAGAGAGAGAGAGAGAAGAGAGAGAGAGAGAGAGAGAAGGAGAGAGAGGGAGAGAAGGGAGAGAGAGAGAGAGGGAGAGAGAGAGAGAGAGAGAGAGAGAGAGAGAGAGAGAGGAGAGAGAGAGAGAGAGAGAGGGAGAGAGAGAGAGAGAGAGAGAGAGAGAGAGAGGGAAGAGAGAAGAGAGAGAAAAGAGCGAGAGGGAGAAAATGAATGAAAGAGAAGAAAAGGAAGAAAGGAGAGAGAGAGAAAGAGAGTGGAAGAAAAAGGGGAGATAGGATATGGAGGTGAGGATAAATATAAAACGAGTAAGAATGTGGAAAACGGTATGTATAATATATTAACAGTATTGACGTCGAGTGCATCAGAGTATGTTAAGAGCATTGACGTCAGAGTGCATCATATTCTACGCTGCATTCGAAACAAAAGGTTTGTGTCTACTGGAGCCCGGCAAGCGTGGGCAATTCGTACAAAGAGGCGCCCTCAGTTTTTTCACGGATGCCAAAATCAACATTATCAATCACGCAGAGCACACAGCGACCACATGAAGAAATGCCCAGTCAGCGCATAAATGTGCTTAAGGCTAAAATATTTTTTGAACAAAAATGCATAGTCGTACAAAAACGTAAATGTGGGAACATTTCTTTCCGGATTCTAGGGATAATCGTGTGTTTAATCGTAGCAAGCTGTTGCAGGGAAAACAAAAAAGGAAAAAGGAAGCAGGGAACAAATTCTTCTCGCATTTAGCACCGCAAGTTACGTGACCGGGCAAGCTCTGCGAGCTGCGGCCAAGACACGGGATTTATCTTGATGTTGGATATGGCAAGGTAGAAGGACACCTTAATCTGGGCCCCAAAATTCCACTTATCAGGTTTCGGTCTCTTTATTTTGTTTTTAGAAAGGTTAGTCTACGATGTGCACGCTCTTCAAGATGCAAAATATGTCTGTGCGCAAGGTGCAAAACTTGGAGAGCGAGGTTCAACGTGCAGGACTACGAGACCCTCACCTAATACACTGGCGGACGCCACACCACCGACGGGACGCTGCCGTCGCCGCCGCCGCCGCACGGCCCACGCGCGCGCCAACGCCCTCCCGTGGAAACCCGCGGCATAGCGACCGCTATTTTGAAAAACCTCCATCCATTCGGCCGGCCCACTCAAGCCGCGGCTTTCGCCGGCCGTCCATTTGGCTTGTCGGCCGAGCGACGCATTACAATGCCGCCGATCGGCATTGGGAACGAAGTCAGCCTATCTATGCATGTAAGGCCATTACGCTGATCCCGACAATCCGACCTTATCGCCGGTCGGGGACCGCGCCGGCTCGACGTAGAGGCCGCGTCGAAGCCGACGGCGGCGTCGCGCCGGAGTCGACGACGGCGCCGCGCCGGCAGGGTGAGGGTTCGAGGCGCGCTAGCGGTGCGGGGATAATGGGGAGGAGTGAGGTGGCGAAGGAGGTAGGCTTCAGGTGGGTTTGGTGAGGCAGGATGGAGAACGATGGAGTCTGTTAGAAGATCGCCATGCCGATGGTGGCTTAACGACGCGGTGCACATGTTAAGTCATCCAGCGTCACGATCCCCCACGCAGTTCAAAGTTCGGGACTGTTCGAAGGTCGGAACGGCTGCAGTTCGGAACTACGCAACTCTTGGCTAGGAAATGTCTGGAAATGTGATAGAGTTGAAGTAGAAAGGGAGTGGATGGGGAAACGTGTGAAGAAAAAAAACGTTCTGCGCATTAGAAAAGGCGTTCGATGAGGGGTTTACGCAGCTCCAGCATTTCCACCAGCTCCCGTCGTTCATGAGCCAACCGCTCCCTGCTGGGCGTTTCTCCTCCGTTTGCCTGCCGCTGTCTGCCCTGGCAGCACCCTGGCCTCGCATTGATCCCGAGTGATCCACCGGCACTCGGCTAATCAGCAACTCGGGCCGTAGCTCACTCAGCTATCGCCGGTGGCGCGGATTTCTGCGCCGCACGTATTCCCCTGCAAAAACAATTACACCGGCGGGCTTTTGATCTCGCACGCGACGAGCTGTTGCCATGGTGACCGCTCGTTGTGTTTGTTACACGCAGCCGTCCGGTGGTGTGTGGCTATACGACCTAATTAACGTGTGCGCAGGAGAAACAATGGTGGGAGAGAAGCCGAACAAGGGCTGTTGAAGCCGCCGCCAAAGCTGGGGAAAGGGACAGCGGCAGCGAATTGGCTAATCAACGCACTCGCGGTCCGTCAAGAAGGCAAATATTGACCCAGGTGCAGTAGTGAGGTCAGGAGACATCCTGGATCCTCATCGATCCGCACATACACTCTCCCGGCGGGCTGAAGTTCTCGTGATTTCATGCTACGGCCCTGTCGCGCACGCTTCAAAGAGTGTAAGCTAACGCCAAAAAACAAGATCGGAACACGCCCCAGGCGCTGTTCTATCGACACCCTCCGGGCGTCTGTTCTTCTTCCGGAGCCGGCAATCAAACTTTAAGCATCGCCGGAGCCGAAGTTGGCGTCTGTTTGCCCAGGTATTTAGTGGCCTCGTACCCCCGCGGCGCCGGTCCCAATTTGAACTGCCAGGCGCAGCAGACGAGATCGCGGCCCCGCAGGGATGAAAGAGCGACCGACAGCTCGCTCAATAGAGCCTGGTGCAGTCGGCAGTCTGGTAAAGCTTGGTGCGCCTTCGGCTTTGTTGGACTTCTTCGCTGACGTGGGGAAAGTTGGTGCACGCAAGGGCGTGGTAAAGTCTGGTTGGCGGTCACCAGCGATGTGATCAAGTCCCGCACACACTGGAGGCTGGTCAGTGCCGAAAAACTCCACGGGGCCAATAAGGTCTGCTACGCATTAGAGCCTAGAAAAGACTCCATTCGACCAGCCTGAAAAAATTGGTTCACAATTAAGTGTAAATTGACGCAGAAAAACAGGATCGAAACACATCCTAGCGGCTTTTTCCATCGGCACTCGCCGGGCCTAGGAAAAGTCGGCGCAAACCAACTACAGGTGTAATTGAGACGAATCTTAAAGGGAAACTTCGTGTTTCGATTTCTTCACCAGGAACTTAAAATACCCTCGAAGCCATTTTTGCCGCATGTCATGACTGGTAGAAACTTGAGATCGTGGCCGATTTCTTGCTTTTGCTTAAGAAAGACTTGCGCACGTCTCCAGCACCGACTTCCGCCAGGTACCGTTGCAACGTCGACTGCCACACCAACTGCAACACCGACTGTAACACAGATTGAAACGTTCCAAATGTAGGCTCCGGACACATAGCTTCAATTTGGTTCCCTAAACTCACCTCATCATCCTTTTCTGCTTGCCTCTGCCGCGCCGTTTTCGCCTCTCGCTCTTTTCCTTTGTGTGGGCTCTCCTCGCGAAATCAACCGACAGTGCGCCACATGAGCCCATTGAGGATATTACTTGGTTTGTATATAGATCTTAGTTATGCTTGAGTGTGTGTCGTGACCGCGCATGATGGATGATACGCTTAAATGCCTTGAAATCATGTGGCTGCGGAATGGCTGTTATTTATCTGTGTTTATAGGTTGCTTTATTGTCGCCAGAAACCGACACGATGATCCACGAATACAGCTTTGTGTAGTGCTAGAGCGGCTATATCTGCATGCAGGGCCAGGAGCTGCTTCTTGCTGTGTTGCAAGCCATGAGAATGGGTGTGGACGCTACACCAGAGATTGAGTCGCGAGAACTTTCGCGCACACCACCTTCCGTTAACCGCCCTTGCACGGAGAAGCACGGCTGCAATATTCCAGAGATTGAGTCGCGAGACTATTCGCGCACAGCACCTCCAGTTAGCCGCTCTTACACAGAGAAACATGGCTGCAACATTCCAGAGATTGAGTCGCGAGAATATTCGCGCACAGCACCTCCAGTTAACCGCCCTTACGCAGAGAAAACACGGCTGCAACATTCCAGAGATTGAGTCGCGAGAGCCTTCGCGCACACCGCCCCCCGTTAGCTGCCCTTACACGGTGAAACACGGCGATAAACGGAAATAACAGCAGCCCGCTGCTATTTCCATTTCAATGGCGTGCCTCTTCCAGCGGCGAATTTACATTTTCGATTATCGCTGAATAATTTATGGGACTCTCCTGGGCGAGCCACTACAGGAGATGCGATCTCGAGTTTCCGGTGACTCTTTGAAAGGCGCCCGGCTTATCTCCCTTTACGTCGTCTTTTTGCCGAACGATGCAGAAAGCGGACGCGTTCGGCAGCTGACCTTACTGTCGGGTTCTTAAAGAGTAGAACGGAAATAACTTGTATGGGGAAGAAAAGTCGCTGAAAGTAGGATCAATCGACGAACCACGTGAAGGCGATCCAAAATAAGAGGGGAAGTTGTAAGTTACTGTGTATGTGCGTAACGATTCAGTATTATGAGTGTGAAGCTCATATGCCAGAAATACTTGATAGCAGAAGAATTCCGAGGTCATAATGCTGAAAAACCAAGAGCTCCTTGTTGACAACTTGTTGAAAACTTCCTTGTTGATGTCAAAAATCCTTGTGCAAGCCTTTGTTGATTTCAAAATTACTTTCAACATCTACCGAAAAATCCCTGTGCATGCTCCCATTCATGACGTCATATTTCGGGGTCGCTATCTAACATCAACGGAAGCTCCGAGGCGAGTATTTGGCGATTTTCCACCTCCTTGACTGACCTCATCGTCGAAAGTACCGTTGGCTCTGCTTTTTAGCGTTGTCTGTCAGCTTTTAGTTTCGCCGTGATCAACCAAACACAACAACAGCTGCCGCCGATCTGAAGGTTACGGATAATTATAGGGTTGCGAAATGCAGTTAGCTCCAATTATGCGCAGGATGATTCTCGCTGACACGACAACAGAAACTTGCGAACTGAAATTGGCCGTCCTGTGCCGCCGCGCGCATCATGGCAATCAAAATGTTCTCTCGCGCCAACAACCACCTCCGCACGGGGCGCTGCCTCCCAACGCTCGCGCGCGTGCTTCGGCCAAGCGCCCGCTGCGCCCGGACAACGTAATCACCATCCCGCCAGGCGCTCGCCCTTCAGGCCGCGTTCAAGCGGGGGGCCGCCGTCGAAAACCCATTCCGGCACCGGCAGACTGCCTGGCGCCGCCGGCTAACGCAATTGGGCGCGCGCGCCGTCGTCCCCGGGGGCGCGCCGTCGGCCGAGACAGACCGGCCGGTCGGTGCCCTTTGTTCGTGTTCCCGCGCGCGGGAAAATTGAACAAACACTTGAGTTGCGCGGCTCGCGCGGCACGTTTGCTCCGGGCGGATATGTAGTCAGGTGAATGAGTGTTAAGGTTGTTTTACGGATGTTTGTTGCGGGGAACGAGCTGGTGAGGGGATGATGAGGAAGTTTTGGGACTGGATCCGGCTCTTCATATTAATGAGCTGGGTCTGAGGACTTGCCGAGTAGAATGTGGTGTTTACTCGTAATCAAGACAAAAGTTGAGAAAACAATGGGCTAGCAAACATTGCAACTGAAAGCGGTCTGATAGACCAGTCCTGAGATATTAGCACGCGAAGCTTGCAGCTTTTGTTATCAAACAACATCCGTACTGATAGGCAAATTTTCTTGTATCTTCATTGTTGTATGCTTACACACTTCCCAAAGTTCAGAAGCTTGGTTCTGTCCTTCATGTAAGCAGACATATGCATTCATTAAATAAGTTCTAAAAAAATCAGCGGGATCGGAAGCTAGTCACATCTCAAATCAACCGTCTTCGCAGTATTCGAGCTCACCTCAGGGTCATGTTTGAACCACACTTCGCATGCAGGCACGTACATGCAGATCTGTGGCAGACAGACATACAACGAGTCCTCCGCAGTCTCATCTGCAGCCAAGACCGGGCGGTCTGGGATGAAGTGCCTCGGACCTTTGCTGACCTCCGACCTTTCGTGGGCTCTCTCCGTGGCCCTAACACTGCACGAGGAGACCGCGCCGGCTTATGGCTCCCTGGTGACGCATCACGCAGAGCAGATGTTCCACCCACACCGTCTGAAAGTAGCAATGCAGGTCTGAAGGCTTCCACCGATCTTCAGAACAGTAATTCGAACAATTTTAGATGCCTCTGCCAGAACTTGCTGCCGTAGAGATACCATCTCCTAGCCCAGGGAGCGATTGGGACGGATACTCTGACACCTCTGAGATAGCGGAGAGGGAGATAGCAGATGTTTCTGTGAAAGATGGAGGCAGAGATAACAGATGCTTCTACACAGTTGAGTGTGGAGTCATTATATAGGCTTTATATAGGCTTTTTATAGGTAACAGATAGGGTTTGCCAGTGTGACTACGTCGAACTGCACCAAACGGCACTTACATTATACAATGGCGGGCTTCACGCGTTAATAAGAGCGATGCAGAGCATCTAGAGCTAAGATTTGTTTGCTTTTTTAAGATTTTCTTGTTTAGGCTCATTTTCACCATCAGC